AAGATGTCCCAAGACTAACAAAAAAGCTTCACCGATAAACGCCTAAAATTGATAAAGTTTCAGGTCGGAGATAATGTGATGTTGAGAGTATATCTATGGAAAGGGATCATTCGATATGGTAAGAGGGAACTGAGTCTGAGGTATACCAGTCCTTTTGTGCTCAGTGATCGGATTGGTGAGGTAGCCCACAGATTAGAACTTCCAACAAAGTTGAGTAGTATTCACAAAACTTTTAAATGTGTCAAATTTGAGAAAATGTTTAATGGATTCTTAAAAGGCAATACATTACCCGAGGTGCAAGTGGATGAGAAATTAAACTTCTCCGAGGAACCAAAAGCTGTTGTTGATTATAAAGTTAAGAGGTCGAGGATAAAAGCTAGAGATCAGGTTTATAAAGGTTCAGTGGCAATATCATAAGGGTCAAGAGTCTACCTAGGAACCGAAAATAGAAATGAGATCAAAATATCCTCAGTTATTCGAATGTTTAAATCCCAGAACGAATTCCTATGAAGGGGAGATGTTGTAATAACCATGTATAAGAGTGTTGGGCTATTTATAAAAGTCCAAAGGTTGATTATGTTGTGTGTCTTTTACGGGGGTCTTATATGGAAATAGAAAACCCATTATAATGAGTGATCTCTTTTTTCATCATTCTAGAGTGTGAGTTTTTCCAAAGTGAGTTTCTGTCTTTGCATCGGAGGAGGAAAAATACAGTTGTAAGTCAAAAGGGAAAACAATAAATCTTAGGGGCTTGAAGATTTGGAATTTAAAGTTCTTCTTTCTTAAGGTAAGTGTTCACTTTGTTGTCTTTGAACTAAGGTTATCTATTGATCTTTGGGTACGTTAGTTATTTGCTTTGGTTTTTTCCAAGTTAGTAGTAAGTAAGCAAAACATTTTTAAACTGGTTGAGTTTGGGTTCCTCCCCAGGTTTGAACTAGTTGAGTTAAAACGTTTCATTCTTAGATCCCAAAGTTTGTTGAAAAAGTTGGAATCACCCCCATTTATTTTAATTATTCAAATGATTTGGAGATGTTAGGATTTGATTTAGTAGCTTCCGTATTTAATTTTATGGTTTAATCTTGCAATTTAATTGTTTAAAAATCTTGGGTTTGATTTTTGTTTGGTTATGGTAAAAGTTTGGAGGAGCATGCTTAAAAACAGGCAAGAGGACGAATCCAATAACCTGTGTGACCTAGTGTGCAACCTCAAGTGCGACACTAGTCGTGTAAGTCATTGAGATGGCGATTTTATATTTTTGCTTCAAATCATTTTGGGGTCTCTCAAGGTATCGTTTAGGTGCCTTAGAGATTATTAAGAGTTTATAATGGAGTGTATTTGTTTAGATTATGATTCGTGCTACTTGTATTTAGATTTGTGTTTGCTTTTAGTTTTTCGTATCGATTAAAGTTAGTTGCATCATATGTCGTGATGAAGATGAGTTTTCTTATAACCCTTTTCGTACTGAAATGCAAATATTATCAAATGACTTCTATTTCAATGTTATAGTTGTTTGGTATATTTGGATTATTACCGTTAATTGTGATACGGTTTTGAAAACATGTTAGAAACTAACACATGTGGTGTAACTGTTCGTTCTTGGGTTAAAAGAACTTACACAACAGAAGCCCGAGTGCATTAGGACTATGGTGGTTTGCATAGGAGGATATGTGTGTGTGTGTGTATGTGTGTATATGTCCCACGAATGTGGGTTTTTGGTTTCATGATGTTAGGGACTGTTATAACAAAGTAAAATACTTCAATTTGGTTAATTGATGGTTTAGAGTGGTTACCAAATCAAATGGTAGTATTAGTATATTAAAATGGTGAAATCTGGTGCTGTTGGTAAGAAACAGAAGTTGTTGGTTGTTTAAAAATATGTATAAAATCAACCGTTGATCCAATTGAGGTTTATGATATGTCATTGGAAAGCTTAGGGTGTCTACTACAACTTTTATATAGAGTCCAAAAGCTAATTGTGACCTTAAGTTGTCAAAATGCCAAATTACAATAGCTGGTATGATGGTACTTGGGATTTGCAAACAGTTGCCATAAACTTCATATTTAATTGGTCATAGCTTCAGATGACATGAATCTTGTTCTATTGAACTCCTAAGGGACATATATACAACTTTCATTTAGAAAGTATCACCAAATTCAACTCCTATGTATGAGATATATGTCCAAAACAGAGATGGGTAGAAGCTAAAAGTGTGCAAGGGATGAAATTTTCATTTGAATGTCTTATTTGCTTCTTAAACCATGTCATTCCCTTATCAACACTAGAATTTTGTTATAATCCTATTGGTATGCAAATAAGGCTTATTTAAGCTAAAGAAGATTACATATAGGATAATTGGGGATTAGACATACATTGGTAATCATGATACATTCTAAGTGTATATTACATGTGATAGGAAATATGACTAGCAAAGATTGGAAACATTGGCATAAGGGCGTCGTGTTTTGACTATCTCGGCTATATAAAGGTAAGGATCTCTTATTATCTTGATACAGGAGTGACCTATTGTTAATGGTCAATCCATTCGAATTTGATTTACCCATTGATAAACTTAAGGTACGAAAAGACCTCAATGACGTTGATTTTTTGGATTTCCATAGTGTCATTGCTTTGTTGAAATCCATTTGGTGTTCCATTATTTGAGCACGACCTAGGAGTTTTCCAAAGTCTATTGCCCCTAATAGAGACCGTTGACCCGGTTCTTGAGTTTTAGTCGGAACGTTGAGGCGCAAATGAAATGTGATATGTAAATGATCTATTGACTCAGTCCAAGAACTGAGAGATTATTGATTTGAGAATGACACGACTAGATAGAGTCAAGTCATATCGACTTGATCATTAGTTGTTGATCTACCTTTGTGATCCGGTTAGATCACATTAGTTGTGTTCCTTTACCAGACACTTCGTCGAGGGCACCGACCTTGTGATGTTTCCAGGTGGCTATATCACTATGGCGTCCTCGTGTATGCGTGGAGAGTGTGTTGGCCCTAATCCGGCCATGAGGGCGTATGGATATCCTAGTAACTTAACAGAATTGGAACTGCTTTAATAGTAGTCTAGGGCTAGTGAGTGTCGTGCCCACACTGCTAGTTCTCACTTACGCCCATAGGACCGTACATCCTCTGGGAACAACGGGTTTAGTGTGTTCGGGATATTTATGTGAACTTGAATAATACGAAACACGGATGGGGTGATTATGTGAATCCCTTTGTTATATCTTTGTGATTTTTGATTGATTTAAGTTATCATTTCATTATTTATTCTACATTGTTTATTATTCATTTGTCGATCTGTTCACTGAGTTATTACTCAGTCAAGTTTGTTTTCCGTGGCAGGTTTTAAAGACAGGCTAGGGGATTATCCGGGTTGAGAGACCAAGAGTGTACTTTGGAGGATAACTTTATAGACGACCTCACTTTTGTATAGTTACTTTTGGGTTGTAAATATATATACATGTATCCTAACATCCGGTTCTCCACAACGATGTTTATTTTGGTTATGTAATTAACTTAGTTGCTCTGTATATTTTTAGTCATGGTTATAATGGGATGGTTGTATTATGCAATATTTTTTCATTGAATAAAATGTTGGAAAACTAATTTTGTTATTTAATATGCATTTTATATATATATACGATACAATGTACCGGAAAACGAGTAAAAATTTAATTATTTTCTTAACAAAAATTAGAATTACCAACGGATTACCTTACCTTCGGTAATTAATTTTTATTTTTATTATTTTTTTGGCCGTCGGTGATATTTTGGTAATTTAGCTGTCGGTAATCCGTTGGTGATGGTGATTGCAACCGTCGGTGATCCATCAATATTGGATCCGTTGGTAGAAGTGTTCGTCGGGAATCCATTGCTAATATCCATCTGTAATGCTTTTCCCACGACATTTTTACCGAGAGACTTTTACCAATAGATCCGCTTTTAGCGATGGACTACCGACGGATTTTTCCTTCGGTAAAAATGAATTGTTTTGTAGTGGATAAGATTTATAAATAACTGGTGATAAAAAAAGGAATTATAAATAGAGAAAATAACATATTTAAGGTTATGATAACATTTTGATGTATCAAAGTATCAACCTAATTAACCTAACCAACACGTATGATTTGGGTCGGGTTGGGTTGGTTGATTTGACATTTTTCAAACAACAAACATTGTGTTAGATTATTCAAATACCTTTAACCCGATTAGCCCAACCCTGAGCACCCCTAGTTGGGGGAAAGAAGCGAGAGAGAATAGACAAAATTGTCTCTCACTAATGAAAACTTAACCGAAAGAGTTAGTAGGTTGGACTATAACCATTATAAAAATAAAAATCATAGAGACGTCCCTCGTTAATAAAAAAAATTCAGGGACCATACTCGCTAATTTATGTAAACTAGAGGATCCGAATTTGCATTTAACTCTTGTATTTATTATATATAGAAGTATGATCAGTCGTAGAGAAATCAAAAAGACCTTGAGTGTGGAGAAGCAATTTAGATGCCACCATTTGAAGCAACCATGACTTTAGACCAAATTCTATCACATCTTGGTACATATTTTATGCAAGAAAACTGGTTTTGATGAACGCAGAAAGGAAAGATAGAAAATTAATGTTTGTTTTCATTTTTCGGTTCGATTATATATTAATTATTTGGAAATTTTCCCTAGGTTGAAGCTTACACGCCAAAGCAACACTTACATCATACAAAATATAGCTGGTAAATCACAAGAGTGGTGTCTAATTGGTTTGAGTTTAACTCCAAAGATCAAAAGTACCAGGAAGTCTTAGGAACAAAAATCCGCTTGTGGGATTATAAGTCGGCTCGCATAGCAGGTCAGGTTAATCAAAAAAATATATGGCTCGTATACAACTATCATGTACTACTCCTGCAGCTACAGCACAAGGTATAACCTTACATTGTTCATACTGTTATAAGAATTAATCACGAAAATCTAGAGGCTGAATGGATGGCTTAATTATATATGATAACTAAAATGTGTTCATCATAATTTTATCAAATCCATTAATCCATAGTATTTAATTAACTACGCCTTTATAGCATTAATTCATGAATCTAATATAACAAACAAACAAAAAGTATCAGAAAATTAGGATATAAATTAAAGTCAAGCAAAGTAGGAGATGTTGTCACTTGTAATGGTACTATAATCTGTGGTGGTGGTGGTTTGTAGGGTATACGTTGAAGAAGATGAAGATCGTGGTAGCGGCAGTGGTGGTGGTGGTGCAGCGATAGAGACAGCCCCAGTAGAAAGCACAGCTAAATGATCATGAGAAGAAGGAAGGATGTGATGATCATCCTGTTGGTTGTTGTCCCTGAATTTGTATCTCAAAATCTGACTCCTAACTAGGTTTAATTCAGCTTCTAGAAATTGTACTTGCTGCTGCAAAGCCGAAATCGCGCCCATACACCCGTAAACAGGATCTCTTAGTCTTATACTCGCTTCATAAACCAAACTGTTTGCTGCTTCTGCCCTTTGACACTCTGGTACCTCCTAAAACGTCATTGAAATTCAAATGATCGAAGAATTCACAAACCGACTTGTGTGCATTCAGACACTACAACAAGATTGCCTTTCCATGACGCCAAAGATGTTTAAATAACCTAACAGAATGTTTTTATATCGATAAAATGACTTAAATTCTCTTAAATAACTTGTTTGGACGCATAAAATAACATTATATCAACTTATCGTAATACATTTATATAGAATGAACCCTCGTTTGGTCATTTAGACATATATGGCATCTTATAAAGTCGATTTTGTTGTATTGATGATGATACAGTTAGTGACATAGATCGATTCTGAGAGGTACAAGCAATGCTAGTTAAAAAGGGAAAGATTGGGGTTAATGATATCATTACCATGAGCAACTTGGAAACATTGCTAGCACCAAAAACTTTGTGAACGCAGGCGAACTTGTGGGGTTCGTGGGGAGAGAAATAGGGAGAAAACGGGCATTCTTGAGCACACCGACGTCGTAAGAGCTTACATGCTGCACAAGGACTGATGGTGTTTAGGGTTCCAAGAGATCCAAACACATGTCTCCTTCCCAATTGAGCTGATGCATTGATGTCCCTCTTGAACTTCTTCCCTGTCTCATCAACTCTCTCCCTATACATTAAAACAAGCTCATCAAACATCTTAGAACCAGAAATAGATTCATCAAAACAACTTTATAGTATGATTATATATGGTTCTTGATCTTTTTTAGAAAGGTGTTCCCATTGCATACCGATCCGCAACAAAGTAAATAACGTAATTTCTAGTTCGTGGATTGATTTCCTGTACACCTATACAACTAATGACTTCATCATATTAGAAACAAAAAGTGGTTCATGGTAACAAGTTAATTATATCATAAAAGTATGACTAGGGTTCTTGATTTTATTAAAACGCTTTGTCTCTATCACCATTAATTATTTGCGATAAAGTAAAACACGTTTCATTAACTTCTTTCGTGTCTCATCAAATCTCTCCGTAGAAACAAATCAATCCATCGTATTTGAAGGAGAAAACGGTACATGAACTTCTCCCGTAACTAGCTATCGATCTAATCATATCTCTCACCACAAAACAAACGAATCAATCATATTAGAAACAAAACCAAAAAAAAAGCTATCCGAAACATCGATCTTAATCAAAAAGGGGTGATTGGTGTTCTAGTTGATTTTCTTTTGAAATTTTGTTTCCATCATAAAGATTTGCAATACAGTAAAGCATAAAGATTTGCAGTAAAGTAAAGAACTCAGAGCTCTTGAACTTCTTCCCTATCTCATCATAAAATCTCAACTAACCCATCAATCACATTAAGAACAAAGAAAAGTCATCAGCACATGACGATTTTATTTGATCGATCAAAAAAGGAAGATTGGTGTTAATCTTGATTTCCTTTAGAAATGATGTTCCCATCAAAGACAAGAGCTATGGAGTCTATTCAAGATTGTCCATGGCACCCATTAAAAAAGGATGAACATGAGACTTATTTTCTTTTGTATAAGCTGAAAGATTTCGATATCGTGTGAATATGAGAACGAAAGGGTAGCTACCAATTAAGAAGTCTTTAGGCTGGTGCTAGTGTTTCAAGCCTTCATAAAGACAAGCTGTGTGTTGTGTGTATATAGAGAGTATGGTGGTGTGTTAGATGGTTTACCTTTCTCTGGACATTCAGGCATACTATCTGAATACGAAGCAAGAGAGAGAGAGAGAGAGAGAGAGAGAGAGAGAGAGATTATGAAGGAGAAGGAAGTCTAGAAACGAAATACTAAATAATTTTGGGAGGGGGTGGGTTGAATAGAGTGCTTAAAAGGCAAGAAAGGTCAGAAAAACGAAAAAATAATGGTGGCCCAAATTTAATGTTAGTTTTCCCTTGCCCTATTTTCCATGTCGAGTATTCGATTCTATCGTTACATACAATTAAAATAAATTAAATTTCTTACAAAATTTTACTTAACTCATCACCAAGTAATACCAATATATTTTGATACATATAATGGTTATTGGTTACGTTAGTAGTTTCTTTAAATACAAACCACATAAAAATACATTATTATTTAATATATTTAACTAAACAATTGGTATGAATTTTAAAAAAATACTATAAAGCTTGTATAAAAAATTCTAAAAGTGAAAAAATTTATTAGATCTTTAACCCACATCAGAACTTTTAAAAATCAAATGAAGTAGATAAAAAGAGGGAATTTTCGTCAGTGTCTTTAATTTTCATGATTTTTCAGTAATTTCAAGGGCTGTTTGGCAATCGCTGAATGGTTTGGTGCAGAATAATTAAGTGGTCAGAATGATTAAGAGACTCTCATGATATGGTATAAAATGAAATATAATTGTTTGATAATTGTTTACAATGAAATTAGGGTTTTTAATGATCAAGGGAGATCGATGATACAAAATCATTCAGAGAGTTTTAGAATCATTAAGAAGTAGGCTTTTTTTTGTCAAACAAGATTTACCTCTTAACGATTCAAAGATTGTCTCTTAATAGAACTATTAAGAGGTAAACAAACAACCCATCAATATTTAATTTTCGATCGACTAACTTCAAAATTCAGTTTATAATTAATCACGTATATGATCATATAAATTGAACTTTTTTAAAGAAAAATAATACATCTCCAATAGTACCAAAGTGAATATATATATTATTTTTGGAATAAGAAAATGAAAGCGGTCCAACTAATTAAGTGAATAACATGTGCTCAATCTCTCACTGTCTCACCAACTTAATTCACTCCCATTCCCATCAATGCCTTCTTTATTTTATATTTTTAATTTATTAAAATAACAAAAACCATGTATAAAATACAAATATATATATTACTTTCTACTTCTTTGATAGTTTATACGGTGATAACAAAAAACAATGCTATAAACAGGATAATGAGTACAAGATAGAAAATACATTAACCTAATAAGGTTGAATAGGAATACATAAAAAGAATAAAGGAATACTAGATGAGACGATTAATGATTGTTTACAGGTTGCAATAGAAAATCAAAAGTGATCTTGAATTTTAATAATCATTACCCTAATGAAGAAATGTGTAACATCCGTATTTTTATTATTTATTATATATTGGAGTATGGGAATTCGAATTAGTGTGAGGATCACTTTCAAATTTTGGGAGAAAATGATGTTTAATTGTATTCAATTGATCTCGAGTCAGATTAGGTAAAAAAAATGATGGAGTTTGGGCATCTGGTAGGTCTCGAGGCTTCTGGGGCAACCTAAGCCGCTAGAAAAACCGCCTAAGCCGTTGGGTCGTGGTAAGGGGGGTCGTGCAGTTTGAGAGCTTAGAAACGGTGGGTAAGGCGGCATGTGGGGCGCTAAAGTCGGGTGGGCAAGACGCCTGGACTGGGTTGCCAACGCACACTGTGTATGCCATGTGTTTGTGTCGAGTGACCTAAAGTTGTGCCGCGTGAGAGGCGCCCCACGCCATGCACGAGATTTTGGTAGTTGGCGACTTTAGGCCAAGCGACCTAAATCGCCCCATAAGTGGCCCGAGCGCCTGGAGTCTTAAAGCTCGACCGAATCAGCTATTTTCCTCATTTTCTCCTCATTCTTCTTCCTTCTCCCTAATTTTCTCTCCTTAGGTTCCATTTTGGAGCATTTTGGGACTTTTGGAGGAGATCTAACCTAACGTAAGATTTTTAGGTGTTTTGAGATCTAGTTAGGATTTCGTTGTAGATCTAATATTTGGGTTGCTTTTGGTGCTTGATTAGGTTTAGATGGTTGTCATAACAAGTTCTCTGAGTTTTCTACTTATAGATCTCAAACCCTCATCAATGGAAGTTAGAGTTTGGATTTTTGGAAACTAGGTTTTAACTTAACCTATTAAGTTGAGTTCAAGTTGTTTTGTGAAAACCACGTACATGCCAAAAACGTCTATTTTGAAGTCTAGAAGTGTTTTACTTGATATTATCAAATGTGTTGATTATTTGATGTGATTTGCATCTTGAGTATACTTGATTTTATAAATCATGTAAAATGTATATATTTGAGTTTTGGACATTTTGATAAATAAATCGTAAGGGTGTGTTCTTTTCATGGTTTATGTTTATAATTGTTGGTTATTAGAGGTTACTGAACATTTCGTGTATTTGGTTTAATAAACCGTTTGTGAAATGCATATTATTGTATTATAAGGCATTTTGGAAATGTAAATAGTATGATTTCATTTGAGAAAATGATTTGTCCCAACCAATAATGGATTTTTTTTTAATTAATCATACTTTTGGAGCATATGTTTACATAAAAGTTGGTTTAAATGCAATTTTATCACTTATGTTGACTTTTATTGAGCAGTCAAATAAGTGTGGAGTATATTGGATTGATTTTGGCATATCTAAGTTATGGATACATTTGTCTTGTTTAACTTGCTCTATCTTGAGCTTTGGACATGATATGCATTTATTGCATTTTGATTTGAGAATTACATTGCATTGGTCATTTATTTGGAGTCATATCATTTAGACTAGATGCATTGGATCCATAGACATATAAGCCAGTCATGTTTGATAAGTGAGGACTCTTCATGTCCTCATTTTGTGACCGATGCTCGTGTAGGCATTATGGTCGTCTCGGTATTAAATTCTTATGAGTCACACTCTAGGGTCGTGATTTTTGTGGTTTTGATGCTTTAACTTTAACCTTTATGCATGAGGGTTAAATTCTTTTTATTATCAAATAGAAAGTTTTAGGATCCTATATTTAATGTTAGTGAATAGACACTAAAGGTCGGATGGGAACCATGCAGTAGGAACTCAACTAGGAATGAACAGGCATAAAGTTCGTGTATCCTTAAGGTGATGCTCGGTAAAGAATGTGCACTAAAAATATTGTGACCTTAACGTGACACCTTGTAGTGGCGGTTCACTAAAAGTATTAAGGACTTGAGATGACACTTGATGTAATGTGCACTAAACTCAATGGATCTAAGGTGTCATTCGATAACATTGATACGTGGCCTACTTTTATGTTCTGTCACATTCGATAGACTCCCGTCACCGAGAGGTGTTAATTTTGGATAGTGTATTATCCATGTCTTCGGTGTTGTTTTAGGGTAAGGAGTGTGTCCATAATTTATGATTTTTGTATCTTGGAACTTATCCATGTTCTAGTGTTTTGAATAATGGAGTTTTATCTATGTTGTCAATATTTAGATGTTTAGTCACACTCGCACTTTGTGTGAGTATTAGGTTTTGGTTTCATGTTAAATGGGTGTTTTGATTAATGAGTTTCATCATGAAAATAGTGGTTTTGGGAAAGGGGTTGTTTTTATATCTGATACAATTTGGAAATTGTTATTTAAATAGCATCTTTTTTGTTTTACCGTTTTATATTAAAGGTAAAAATTGTTTGAACTCATTAGATGTTAAGCCTAAATCTTTTTATTTGTCAATATGTGCTAGTTAAAGCACGAGAAGGATTTAGTCATTTAGGGACGTCTTTCGTAATTTGGAGATAGTGACTGTTGTTGGACGTTAGTAACACCCTACCTTAACCTAGACTTTATGTAAGACCTGGTTTATCATTTGTTGATGCTAATTTTGAAATTACTATTTGAGGAAATCAAGTATTGATTGATAAATAGAGATTTATCCATTACACTACAACCAAAAGGGGGTTATAGGACATTTTTTTGGGACACATTTCGAAAACCGTCCTTAAAAAGGGCTAATACAACACATTAGTTTATGAGTCATATTTGATTTAATCTTATACGACTCCTAATTTTGATATCTTATTAACATACCTTAACGTCCTATCATGAAA